TGAGATAGCAGTGGAACAGGTCGGACACACATACACACATACACACACACATACACACATACACACATACACACATACAGACACACTAACTGCAAAGACTCCCATTTTGTGCTTCGCACATGGGAGTCAAAAAATCATCTCGCTTGAACCTTTTTTTTCAACTGAGAACTCACAATAATATTTGAGCACATATGCTAAAAGTTAAGCATCAAATTAAATAAATTGTTGTAAATTTATAATGTTGAGGGAATTATTTCATTTTGTTTAAAACTATACATTACTGTCCAGTTAAAACTAGCATTCCAATGGTAACATACAAACTAGCATTCCTATGGTAACATACAAACTAGCATTCCTATGGTAACATACAAACTAGCATTCCTATGGTAACATACAAGCTAGCATTCCTATGGTAACATACAAACTAGCATTCCTATGGTAACATACAAACTAGCATTCCTGTGGTAACATACAAACTATGGCAACATACAAACTAGCATTCCTATGGTAACATACAAACTAGCATTCATATGGTAACATACAAACTAACATTCCTATTGTAACATACAAACTAGCATTCCTATGGTAACAAACAAACTAGCATTCCTATGGTAACATACAAACTAGCATTTCTATGTAACATACAAACTAGCATTCCTATAGTGACATACAAACTAGCATTCCTATGGTAAGATACAAACTAGCATTCCTATGGTAACATACAAACTAGCATTCCTATGGTAACATACAAACTAGCATTCCTATGGTAACATACAAACTAGCATTCCTATGGTGACATACAAACTAACATTCCTATGGTAACATACAAACTAGCAGTCCTATGGTAACATACAAACTAGCATTCCTATGGTAACATAGAAACTGGCATTCCTATGGTAACATAGAAACTAGCATTCCTGTGGTAACATACAAACTATCGCAACATACAAACTAGCATTCCTATGGTAACATACAAACTGGCATTCTTATGGTAACATACAAACTAGCATTCCTGTGGTAACATACAAACTATCGCAACATACAAACTAGCATTCCTATGGTAACATACAAACTAGCATTCCTATGGTAACATACAAACTAACCTTCTTATAGTGACATACAAACTAGCATTCCTATGGTAACATACAAACTAGCATTCCTGTGGTAACATACAAACTATCGCAACATCAAACTAGCATTCCTATGGTAACATACAAACTAGCATTCCTATGGTAACATACAAACTAGCATTCCTATGGTGACATACAAACTAGCATTCCTATGGTAACATTCAAACTAGCATTCTTATGATAACATACAAACTACCATTCCCATGGTAACATACAAACTAGCATTCCCATGATAACATACAAACTAGCATTTCTATGGTAACATACAAACTAGCATTCCTATGGTAACATACAAACTAACATTCCTATGGTAACATACAAACTAGCATTCCTATGGTAACATTCAAACTAGCATTCCTATGATAACATACAAACTAGCATTCCCATGGTAACATACAAACTAGCATTCCCATGGTAACATACAAACTAGCATTCCTATGGTAACATACTAGTACCTCAGGTATATGTAGGTTGAACGTTTTGTCTTTAATAAATTAGAAAACTGCAGGTATATTCATGAAATGAAAAACACTGGATAAGACCACACAGGGCACAAAC